CACACCGACGAAACTCAGACTAGTACCACACCGCGGGAAGGAGGAACAGGCGATGGCAGCATGCGGCCACACCGACGAAACTCAGACTAGTACCACACCGTGGGAAGGAGGAATGGACGACGCAGCAGGCGGCCACACCCAGGAAACTCAGACTAGTTGTACTGGGAAAAGGCGGCAGGCACGGGGAAGAAAATACCGTATGACTCCATGTACACAGACAAAAACAAACAAAGTTCACATCTATGGTACAGAAGTTGGCTCAGACAGTGGCTACCTGAGAGAGGATGGGACTTGGGACCCTGCTCTGGACAGTGGTGCTGTGTCGACTTGGTTAAGCTGGGAACTATGTTTCCCAGGGCCCCCAGTTAGAGTGTGAGTTAGAACTGGCCAAGCCAGGAAGTTCTATAAAGCTTGAAAGGCGAACTGAAGCAGTGGCCATGAGGTGAAGGACAGAGACACGGGCACCTGGAGGTTCCAGCCTGCCCTGCCCTCCACACTGCGGCCAGCTCCCCTTTCTCATGCTGACCCTGCTGACCGACCACAGTCCCCAGACCTGCCACCAGTCACTGAGCCATGGACCCAACTGGACAGCAGCTCCCCAGAGGCAGTACTTACCCACACACTCCCCTCCGACGGCTCCACCTGCGCAACAGACTGGGTTCTGGGCGTCCCTGTGAGCTTGGGCGCATCCAACCACACCAATACTTAAGGCGACTGGCGAGTGACTCCTCTCTGACCTCCCAACCATCTGGACCCCCACACCCTCTGGTCCCCCAACTTGTGGAGATTCTAATTCCGGCAATAAGTTCCTTATCCCTAACTCCCCTGACTGAACCCTGCTGGGCACCAGACAGACGTTCCTATATATACAAATTCAAGTTGCACACTCAAGCTTTGTGCACTTTATAAAATGTATGTTATACCACCATGTGAAAAACACTAAAAACAAAAGCCCCACAAGGGCATCAGAGTGGTGTGAGAAAACCGTGATCTGAGGGGCCCAGCAGCCTGTGAATGGAATCTGCACCAGGCTTCACATGCTAAGGAAGAACCACACAACAGTGCTTGGCATCAGATCTGGCAGACAGCTGGGAGCCCAAAGGGGCGTGGCTGCTGACCAGGGCCAGGGTTGTGTGCTATATAAATAGCCAAACGGACACATGCTCCCCGCCTGGCAAGCTACCAGCAGGCTACCAACTCCATGGAACCAAGTCTAGAGAGACTTGTCCCTTCTGAAGGGACAGACTCAGCAAATTCAGTGTGCACCCTGAATGCAAGTTAAGTAGGGCATCCCTAAATGGGCAGAAAGGGACATGTGAGGAAGGGCAGGGATGAGTAACAGATCCAGCCTGTGGCATTTAGAACCTGCACCAGCAGGGTTCTTGGATAACCTTTCTCAGATGCGCACACGCATTTGCATGAGAAGATGCCAATGAGTTGTACACCTGAGCATCCCCAGAGCAGCTGTGTTTCAGGCAGGAGACCCACGTGTCTTGCCACCTTTCACTCCATTTGGCACATTATTTACCCAGTGCATAGTGTATGTCAGGCCTGTGCTTGCAATTAAACTTACAGTGGTGAATGGAAACCCAGCGCGTGCCCTTGTGGAGCTTACCGTCTAGTGGAAAATACAGACAATAAACAAGTGAGCAAGCAAGCACATAATGACAACACATGGGTACTGGGAAGGACATGCACAGGTGACGGTGACTTAGAATAGCAGGAGAGGCCCTAAGTCAGGGAAGCTTTCTGAGTAGCTTAAAGCAGAGAACTGCAGGACAAGAAGCAACAGCACGTGCTCGGTCTTCATTCCTCTGTTGGGATTC